ACACACACACACACACACACACACCACACACACGCACACCGGCGCACACACGCACACACACCTGTCCTGTCCTGTAGTCACTGCCGCAAAAGGGTCACGTGATCCCATCAATGGGAAACTTGACAAGAGAGAGAGAGGACACGACGCTCGATGACGCTCCAGGTGCACGGGTAGTCGCATCCGCTTGCCGCATATGCACACGTGCTGGAAGGCTGAGCGCTCCTCTGCTGTTGGTCTATGCGCCACCCTTGAACAGCGATGCCTTCCCCGTCCCCGGACACCGCGAAAGCAGCGACCACACCTGTCACAATACGCGGCACAACATCCCTCCGCCGGTGCCGACGTTCCGGTAGTTCCAGGTGGCACTGCGGTATCCACCGTTGAGGCAAACACATGCCGGACCAAGCCACCGCCCACACCGCCCGCACTGACTGGCGCCCCGCCGCTCAGACACAGGCCGCGCACGCTCCTCCAGACACTTATGCCGAGCCATGTCTCCTTTCCGTGCAAAATCCCGTCCGCATACCGTACATACCACTCGGGGCGGAGACTCAGGCACATTGTCAGGCTCTTGGTAGGTGCTGCGCCACTCCGCGCGAGACTCACATGCAACATCATACCATGATGCCTCCACGCCACGGGCACGTAGATCCCGGACAGCACAGTCCTTCCATCTGCGGCGTGGGCCATGTGCTGGGCTACGCTGCAAGAAGGAGCCAAACAGTACCTGTTTTGGGATGCGGTTGTCCGGCATCCGCGCCACATGCCCCAACCACTCCAACCGCCGATGTGCAATTTTGTCTTTAATCGTCTCGGAGTCTCCCCAGCGCACCAGCAGCTCTTCGTTGGTGATGTGTTCGTCCCACATCCGGCTTCGAGAGACCCCGAGGATGGATCGGATGCACCTCATGCTGAAGGTTGAGAGCTTCTGCAGGTCATGCTGAAGGGGCGTCCAGCACTCAGAGCCATACAACAGCAGGGACAGAACGCAAGCATTGAATACGCACCGCTTGGTGTGCATCAGCAGATGTGGATTGGAGAATACAGACCTCCGAAGAGCACCGCAGGCCCTGGAGGCTTGGGCAATCTTGCGGGGATGTCCCGGGACGAACGGCAACCGCTGTCCACTACAGAACCGAGGTATTTGAAATGCGGTACGCATTCCACCTCCGCTTGACCAAGTTGGAGGGGAGCGCGGACGCACACACACACACACACACACACACACACACACACACACACACACACACACACACACACCTCCGTGGTCGGTAGAGCCCCGGTCTTCACGACCATCTGAACCGTATGGATGTTAGACCCGGTTCTGACCCTCTGTATTCTAGGGGAGTTGTCGTAGTTTTCTTGTTGTTGTACCGTCAGTCGTGTATTCTTTGTTCGCTCCTGGATGTCATCCAAAACCGGGTCTAGCACCCATACGGTTCAGATGGTCGCAACAGACCGGGGCTCTACAAACCGTGGATGGTTGTAGTAAGGTCACTGTTTCCGAACACAGTGGTCCTCCACCTTGTTACATGCTGTCAACTAACAACATGTTTCAACAAAACAAGGTTTATCTAATGATCAATCTGCAGACAGAACTGTTTCCTAATATGTATGGACAGAGTACAATGCAAACATGACTGTACGCCACAGAGTACAATGATGCAAACATGCATATAATTATCAGCCCCAGTGCAAAACACAGTCAACGTTGCGAATAGCGCGACTCTCACTCGGCCATGAGAAAAGTGTTGTAATATTTTGTTATTTGTAACTTGGAAATTGTGGGCACAAGTTATGCGATCGAGTCCACCAACTGAACCAGATTTTGAACAGTCAGTCAGTCGATCGCTAAACTGGTGCCCACAACTTCCATGTTACAATTTTTTTCCTTGGCTCACCATCTGAGTTCTATTTTGTTATTGTTTTGCGATTTAAAATCTAAAACTAGCTAGCTTCACTATGATAAGTAACAATAATGCAGGCTGGGGCTGGGACCTCCTGTAAAGTAATGCCTTGTACATATGTTTGGCCCCGATACTCGCTTCTCCTGGATAGTGGTATTCTTGCACTCCCATGCACTGTTGTTGCTAGCACCTGCAATTACATGTACATGTATGTACTATGTACGCATGTACATGTACATACACGTGCCATGGCCTGACCAACCGGACCGGTTCCGCCGGGCCTGCTTGGTCTGGATAATTATGATAGTGTTGTTATTAGCGAGATAGTGTTATGGCATCTTTCTTTTTTCTTTTTTTTCCCTTTTTAGCTTGCCGTGGTTGGCTATCACCTGACCTCTCATGTTTATTGGCAGTCTTCGGACGGGCCAGGAGATGTTGAATAAATAAATAAATAAATAAATAAATGATGCGAGGTTGTTATACTCAAGGTTCACCACTAACAAGAATATCGGTAAAGGCTAATGATTGCCATGATTAATCCACACCATTTTCCATTGTCTGCATCGAAAATAATTTTTGTCCTCCTTTTTTCACCATAAAATAATTCTGCAGCACTTTCTGGGAACGTTTCGCCATTCTCATAGCTATAGAGGATATGACAGCTCAGTATTAAAAATGTAGGAATGCTTTTCACACTTTTCTTGCCACCGCCCCGCGCCCGTGACAAGCCTTGGAAACGCCTACACCAAGAGTACATAACCCCCCAGAGTGTGCAACTCCACTATGGTGCTGTCCCGACAGAATTTCAAGTTGACGTCATTTTGATGATGCAATGTGCACTGTACACGGATTATCAGACGAATCCGGAACCTGTGGTTGACGCGAAGCCGATCGATCCTGTACAAATTATTGCAAAGAAAAACGTGTGATGCGTTGACACCCGTACACATGTTGTAAATCACTGCACTGGTGCAAGGAGCATTGCGTCATAAAATAATGACGTCAACTTGAAATTCTGTCGGGACAGCAGGATATGTGGGAGTTGCACACTCTGGGGGTTATGTACTCTTGCCTACACTTACATGTATCTATACTGGTAACGTTAATGGCAACATCAATGTGCTCAGATACATAACAAAAACGACTTTTGGGTTGTTGCCTGCATAGTCACCGGCAGAACTCTTTTTCCGCGGTCAAAAGTGCGAACTCCACGGATCACTGTGATCTCTGAGCCGGAAATCATCGTGGCCATGGAATCACATATTTCAAGGGAACAGATTGCTGTGAAAGGAATGTCTTCTCCTGCTGCATATACTTCGAGTGCAATACTATAAATGAAACTTCGCAGCAGCAATATCCAGCCACTCCCACTGTTGGGTTCACACGGGAAAAAAAAAAGAAAAGAAAAAAAGAGTCGAATGGTCTTGGTCCGAGGAAGCTGAGACGCTCCCTTCTTCCTTTATTCCCAATCGAACTCGCGAACTTCCACCGAAGGTGACTGGTGTACGTAGGAGCACGTGACCGCTTGTTCAACCATGTTCGATTGGGAATAAAGGAGGAACGCTGCATCGCAGCCTTTTCGGACCAAAACCAGTCGACTCAGCGTCCAAACGACTACAACATATGGGCCAATCGTGGTCATCCGTGCTTTTATAAGAACGAAATGGCGGTTTTAGTGACATTCTGCATACAAATCCCCATCTATATCTTGTAGTAGGGCGCAGTCACCCAGTTTCGGTGGAAGTGGGCGAGTTCGATTGGAAATATAGGAGGAAGGGAGCATCTCAGCTTCCTCGGACCAAGACCATTCGACTCAGCAGTGAGCGCCCCAAAGACTACAACTACTATAGTACTAGTGAAAATTTGATTTTAACATGTTGCCATACTTTCGTTAAAATGATTTAGCATTACTACAAATACATTCTAAACTGAACACAACACATGCTAAACTGAACGCAACGCATTCCTAACTTTTAAACACAACACATTTTTCAGATAAGCGGCTTAAAGCCTACCTCAGATTTTGAAACCTGATGCCATCTTCATCATCAGCTTCAGTATAGCTTGTGCCAATCACCTGATCACACGGCGTCCATGTAACCGATAGCCAGTGGTCTTCACATCTTCTCATGCCATGCCCTATAACCATGTAGGACTAACAATGCTGGGTCAACAATTCTGTAAAC